AAATTCTTCTCAGCTAAATAATGATGTGGATAGATTTAGAAAACAATGATGGATCGCACAGAAAAAAAGATTTGTAAAGTTTTTTTTTTGGTTATTTTTTTTGTTTTTTTTTTAGGGTTTTTTTGTTTTTGTTTTTTTTTGTCAAGATACTTTCTAACAGGGTTAGAGGATATTTTTGATGTGGGATAAAAGTCGTTTTTTTATTCTTGTTATGACCATTAAATACGCACCAATGTGCAATAAAATCCCATTCTAATTTGTATTTTCTTGTATTTCATTTCTGTCAGCCATTATTTACTTATCTGTTTACCTGTCTGTTGTGTTTGTTTATTTCCTAATCTATTTATTCACCGTTCGATTAATTCATTCAGACAAGCTCACCTCCAACCTTCTTTCCTTGCTGACCAATCGTTTGTCTTCTCTGAATAGCCGCCATCAGATAAGTGAATTTTGTACAATTCGTTCGAATTACTATTTCTATGGCTGTTTGTTGTAAACGCTTTCTTTTCAACTTGCAAAATTCTTACCTACACAATTGTAAGTCAAAAATTCAATTTCAACCCAGACACAAGAATTCTGATGAAATTTAAACAAGTACAACAAATTTCTCTTGCTAATTACGACCGAAGGCTACAGAATCGTTCACACGTAACCGAATGTTGGGTATAGATATGTATGTATGTAGGTAGGTAGGTAAAAGGCACCTTCCTCTGCTTTGTAACGCAGAAAACTTCTTACTGTTTTGTCCTATCAATGAATATAAATGAGATACATTTTCATACTCCGTATTTTGAGGTTTTAAAATATGTCTCCTGCATCCCTAGCAGAAGGGGTAAAAAAAACTCCAATGGCGCCACCACCCGAGTGGATAATAGCAGACAAGGGTAAAGGCCAAACCTATGTATATTTATGGACTCCAGTACAAATAAGACCAACGTCGGAATTTTTTCAGTTTAGTGTAAACCGGACCTAAGTTTACCTTTTTAACACCAATGTAAATCGGACTAGCGTCTACCTTCTAAGACTAGTGTAAATCGAATATATGTCTCTCTTTTTAACACTAGTGTAAATCGAATTATATGTCTATCTTTTTAACACTAGTGTAAATCGGATCTATGTCTACTGTTTTAACACTAGTGTAAATCGGACCTACGTCCACTGTTTTAACACTCGTGCAAATTGGACCTATGTCTACCTTTTTAACACTAGTATGAATCGAATCTATGACTGCCTTTTTAACACTCATGTAAATTGGACCTATGTTTTCCTTTTGACTCGAGTGTAAATTGGACCTATTTCTACCTTTCCAGTTTGGTTTAAATCGAATTCCATTCCACCTTTTATAATAACTAGTTCAAATATGACCTATGTCTACCTTTTTGACTCTAGTATAAATCTCGCCCTTGTCAACCTTGTGAATTTATGTATACTTTTGTAATTCTCATGCAAATCATACGTATTTCTACCATTTCGCCTTTCATGTAAATCAGATGTTGAATATCGCCGTGTCTCACTATCGCGTCATTGAACATCCCAAACATACAGAAAACATTAGACCCACCACAGGCAAGTTGATAGAAACAAGTATATTGCGATAGACTTGAATGAATAACGAAGAAACGGCAGTTGGGTCTCGTGTAGTTCTTAGAAAGCTCGCCTCTCAAACCATTCGTTCTGGAACTAAACCGAAGTTTTGCCAGTAGTTAAGCCAGGTTAAGTGGGGATAAATACCTATCAAGCTGAAAGACTATGACTGAACAAAGACATATGAGACCGAAATAGTCGGTCTGGAAAAAATACCTATAAGGCCGAAACTGGTACTGAATAAAAACATATAAGACCGAAATAAGAGGGCTGAATAAAGATATATGAGGCTGAAAGAGTGGGGTTGAATAAAGACATATGAAACTAAAACAATGGGGCTGAATAAAGACATATAAGAACGAAATAAGGGGGCTGAATAAAGACATATGAGGCTGAAAGAGTGGGGCTGAATAAATACACAGTGAACATCATTGTAAAAAGTAAATTCACAATGAATTTTTTCATTCACTGGCCAACGTTGTTACCATTTTTCGCCGCTTATCTCTTCGAGAAGAATGCATGCAGACACAACACTGGTTTCTTTTTCAGCTATCTCTATCTATAAAAGGCAGGATGTGTGTGTGTGTGTGTGTGTGTGTGTGTGTGTGTGTGTGTGTGTGTGTAACGAATGCACGGCCGTAATTTTCGACGGATTTGCACCAAAATGTACATGCACATTCTCCAAGTTAGCGGGTAAGGCCAAGACCGACTTTGCATTTCCCAACTCCCATCGATAGTGGAAATAATCGATTTTTTTATGCTTGTACGGCAGTTTTCATGCAGTTTGCGGCCATTTTCTACTGGCCAGTGTGAGAGCCTATAGCTGGCTGCCACGAATAGGCAGGAGATTCTATTGGCCAGCGTGACAGCCAACAGCTGACTGACACGAATGTTAAGTAGCATGCTAGCATGCAAA